CATAACTTTCCTTGTAGAATTATCTACTTTTAGGTCAAATGACCAACCACAATTTGGTTGACAACCGTACATAGTGAAATTGAGTACAAACCCATCTGAGGTTTGATTATAGGATTCTATTTTCTTGACCTTTGTAGAATTGGTATAAAAATGTGCGTCGTGTTCGTTGATGTGGAATACATCATCGGTAAAAGTGATTTCGCATACTTCATATGATAAACCTACGGTAATCCAAGCATGAACCGATGAAATAATGGTTAAAATCAGAAAAGACAATGTTATGAATGTTTTACTCTGCATTTTTTTAACAAGTGGATTTGAATATATTGAACGAAAAAAAATCTCTGTTGAAAAATTACATTTATATATAAAAAATTTGGTACATGAAAATTAAACATACGAAATGTTTATGTATACCATTTACCTTTTTTATTCCTTTTTGCTTTATTATATTTTTAAAACTTTCTCATTTCACTCTTGCACTGTCAGACATTGTTATAATTTAAAAGAAAAATAATAAAGCTTGATTCATTGTCATACATTTACAATATGTTGATTATGGTTGGAACCGGAGTTAAATTCATCTATTTTAACCGGCCATTAACTGATTAACCGTTTTAACCGGTTAATTAACCGTTTAAAAATTAACCGGTTCCGATCTCTAATTTACGTGCCTTCGTTCATGAGTGTTTTACAAACCCTGTTGTAGTTTAGTAGTATATAAAAAAACCATACCATACTACTATTATACATACGTTCCTAAACCGTTACTTTAACTGGTTTGTGTAACACACATGAATGAAGACACGTAAATTTTTAAATTAAGAAATTAATTGAATGCAAATTATTTTATCGCTCATTTAATAATTAAAAAATTTTGTGAAAATACGTCTAGAAATAACTTCCAAATCCACATTTTTTAATGAGGTAGAGGATTTTCTTTTCTTTTCCTTTCGGATCTTTTTTTCGTATCCTTAACAAAAAATTGATTCGATATGCTGCGGTAAAGGCTTTGAACTTTTTTTTATTTTTATTTATATTCTGATTATTGCTTAATAAAGGTTCAAGTACAATATTTTCTAAAATTTATTTCGATCGCAAAAAAAAAAAAAAAAAAATTAAAACCTTTAAAAAAACAATTTAATCCTGACAACTAAGCAACATTCACCAAAAAAAAAACTTTATACATTATGCGAAGTCTCGTATGATACGCTCCTATATTTAGCCTTTGTATAGAAAATCTATAATTAATGCAAACAAATATTTACAAATATTTTTCACTCTTTTCTTATCAGGTTGGATCGCTTCCACAGTCATTACTACCTTAATTAACAAAAGAATAATCTCAATACATTATTATTGTGTTCTTCAATTTGTATTTATTGAATAAAACAAACTTTCACAACTTTCTTGGCTCATATTGATGAATATTGTTTGTAGAAAATCCATTTTAATATGCAATTTTTGAATCATTTGATAAATAAATATGATTCTTATCATATAGAAATCTAAATTTACTTGTCGTGTAACGGTAAAAAATCCAATTAAATATGATCGAATTTTTTAAAGATAAAATTTATAAACTTGTCCTTAAAGTTAAGCTTTTTTTACAACTTGTCTCTCGTACAATATTTTTTTCCCTGATTTCTGATACTTTTTTTTTAACGATGAAACATTTCGAAACCATCGAAACCGAAGGTTTCGACTTTTTCCAAAATGAAAATAGCACGCAACCGTAAGTTGTCCGATATTCCAGCTACTGAAAAAGACCGTACATTTAGTAAAGAATACATTTTTGAAAACACTTCTCTGAGACATATTCTTGTCCGGATACTTTTGTCCGGGCGGTGTATATTTCCGGGTCTTCCGCCATCTGTACTTCAATCACAAGTTTGATAAAGTTCAGTTTCATCACAAGACCTGAAGTAAAAAATTTTAGATAAATTTTATTATTTTTCTGAAAATCGGGTGACTTTAAATATAAATTTTCAGATATATTTCTTAGAGAAACGTCTTGAATCTTGGAAGAAACCACCATTCTTAGATTATTAAAGTTTGATCCCATTGCATAAGTCGTGATCCGTGAACGAAAGAATTGTTCTCATCAAGTGCTCGGAATTCTTTGGTTAAAATTAATCCACCAAAAATGTTGAACATTGGAAGAAGTCTATCGATCACATCACCTTGGAAGAAGCTCGATCCCGTTGCAAGATGTCGTGATCGTCTTTCCTTTAAGCAACGACCCTTTTTTTAAAGCTTTAACGTGTTAAAATAATTTTCACATACATTCATTTTATCTCAGTTTCGTTCAGGTAGGTAATGAAAAATATTTCTCTTGGTAAGTTCATTTAAGATTTGCAATATAAAATTTATTATCTAAATCTTTAAGCAATTAAAATTTCTAATATTATTCTTTACGTTTAAGTGTTTATAAACTCCTTCCGAGGATTCTATCCGCGATTTCCATGCGTTGAAATGACTTTACTTTCGGTCATATCATTTCGATATGTTTAATATTTATATGGTTTTATTTATTCTCATTAATAATTTATTTTTATAAATATCTCAACACGAGACTTTTAGAAATTATTCTTTTTTTTTATTTTGTTATCCTTAACTCATTTTATTCGATCCTTAACTGATTAGATAAATTCATTCAGTTTGAAAAAGAACTCCTTGAATCTAAATTAGCTGATCGTTAATGAATAATTTTAAGTCAGAAATATTGGAAATTATTCCTTGATCTTTAATTTGTGGCAAATGTTTGAGATTATTGGGTTGAGATAGGTATTAACTTTCTAATCGTGCATATCATTAGAATTATAATTGATGGGATTATAAATTTATTATTTTATACATCTATAACAAGAGGTAATATTTTGATTATTGATTTATTTTAAATATTTAGGGTCAAATATACTTTAAAGAATTGGGTAAATTCGGTAAGCTAGTTATTTACGTTCTTCCGCAGTTAAGAAAAGTTAAGGAGTTTGGTAGGTAAAATAGATATTTGAGTTTTAGATCACCATAATTTCGTTGTGTTAGTTAATTATGAGTTTAGCGCACGAGAAATTCGTTAAGGAGCTAGGCAATGTTGGTAAGCTAGTTATTTGAGAATTGTCACAGTTAAGATAAGATAAGGAATTAAGATAAAGTTGGTAAGCTTTCTACAATCGAATTTTCGTTATCTTTGCAATCCGCCAAAGGTGTTCAATAAGTCCAGATCTGCAATATTTAAGCTATAAATAGTATCATCATAATTCTTTGGACATCTTTTTTTTTCTCTAATCTTTTCTTCTAAATTATGTATAGTTTCTTAACTGCTTCTTACCGCAACAGTCCGAAAATAACATAAATAAAATAAAATGAGATTAATTAATAATCAAAAAAAAGAACATAATGTAAAATTCAACCAATCATTACAAAAAAATAAATATTACTAAAACTTACAGAAGTGTTTCAACTCGAAAGAGGAACCTAAAAGGCGCCAATTCACCAAAAAAATCATAAAAAAGAACATAATCCGAATTACCGGTGTTAGTCGCAAATCATACTGCGCCGCAGATAAGCATAGCGGACATGCTTAATTTTATCACATTTTGCTGATCAATTTGCTGATCATTTATTCATTTTTATCACATATAAAAATTCTCCGATCAGAAATCCTAAATAATAATATATGTTAAATTTTTACAAGTAGCTGCATTTTAATATAATGAAATAACATATTAAATTTTATCGAAATATAATTATTATTGGGTAAGTTATACT